CCTGTGGCCAGCCTGGTGGTCCAGCCCCAGGTGAGCCGGCTCCTCTGCCCGGTGCTCACTGCTGGTATCTCTCCATCAGGAAGAACAACTGGGTGAGATCTGCTTCTCACTGCGCTACGTCCCCAGCACCGGCAAGCTGACAGTGCTCATCCTGGAAGCCAAGAAGCTGAAGCGGATGGACTCTGATGGGCTCTCAGGTAAGCAGGGGCTGCTCATGCTCAGATCTTCCTACTCCTGCCCGACAAGTAGGATACTGTGCTCCGCTTGGGAATGGCCCAGGGAAGCTGTTTTGTGGCTGAGCTCCGCAGACAAAAATTGTCACTTGTGCCAGCCATGTCCTCTCTCTCCTCAGATCCTTTTGTTAAGGTGCATCTTGTCCTGAACAGGAAGAAATGGAAGAAGAAGAAGACAAGTGTGAAGAAAAACACCTTAAGCCCTTACTTCAACGAGGTGTTTATTTTTGAGGTGCCTTTCAATCAGATCCAGGTGGGTTTCTCTGCAGCACTCAGGGCTGAGCGGGTCCCTGCTGCGGCAAGCCCCCTTCCACTGACTCTCTTTCTTGTGTGGCTTTCCCCCCAGAACGTGGACCTGGTCATCTCTGTCTGGGATCATGACAAAGTGACCAAGAACGAGCCCATCGGCAAACTCTTCCTTGGCTGCCGGGCAACAGGCAACCAGCTGCGGCACTGGTCCGACATGCTGTCCAACCCACGCCGGCCCCTCGCCCAGTGGCACAGCCTGCAAGCCCCCGATGTGGTTGACAAAGCCCTGGGGCTGAAGTCCCACCTCAAGCTGCCTCTGCCCCCCAGATAGTGAAGGTCTCCTCCACCCCAGGGGGCAGGACAGAGGGCTGGCGGAGGGGTGAGGGGTTTCTGCTCAACAGCATCTGGACACGTTGGTCCCAGTTCAGTGTCAGCAAAGAGGGAACTGGGAACTCTTTTTGGCTCCTGGTGCAGCTCATGCCCTGTATATTGCCTGGAGCGGAGCAGCTTGGCACCCCAAGGCAAGGCTGGATGTGGAGCAGAGGATGCTAGAGCAGACAGCGTGGTCACAGGAGCCAGCTCAACCCAACCACTCATGGGCTGGGGGAACAAATACAGAGAGCATCAAGCTCATGCAAAACCACTGAGTCCATTGGTATTTTTAAAGCAGAGGACTAATGTGTGGGCAGCCTGGGGTGGGCAGTTTCTTTGGTTGTGAATAACTCGTCAAGAGGGCAAGTTCTTGGGAAGGCTTTACATGTCCTGGGAAGGCTTTCAAACAAGACCAAGATCTTAAAGCACCCTAAGAGGCCTGAGAGGAGAGAAAGAGGACAGGCTGGTGAGGAAGGTGTTGGAGACAGAAGACTAGCTCTTTAGTGCCTCTGCAATAAGCATGCTCTGTGGGAAGGTTTCACTTAATCTGGGAGGTTTTTGTGGCCACATGTCCTGCCCTGCTTCACAGGGCTTTGGGGTGGGGGCTACAGAAGTAAAGATCCCTCCTAGAAGGATGAGGACATCAGAGAAGGGCTACTGTCCCTATCTGTCCTTGAGTACACTGCAGCTTGTGGTGGCTCAGAGCAGCTCCTCTGAGCCATCTGCAGGAGGAAGCTGGCTGCATTTGGCTGGAGGAGGGAATCGTTTTTGCTCCGAAATACTTCTGCTGCAAAGCAGCAGTCGTACACAGAAGATTTGGGCTCATCTCATTGTATTTTGGCCCATAAGAGCATAGGAAAGTATAATAATAATAGCTATTGCCTGGGCTCTGGAAGGCAGAGAGCCCGGCGCATGAATGAAGAGTCATTAATATTGAAAAGCAGTTAATCTGCAATTACCCAGAGCTCCACAGTGCAACCATCCGAGAGCTAAACAAACATGGTGGAGCTGAGGAAGATTATGAAAACTCTCAGTAGAGATTAATGACCTAAGCTTAACCATAAAAAGCTGCTGCGTCTGCTTCTTGATAAATATTCTCTGGGCTTTGCCATGGCCACGAGGAGGGAAGGAATGACAGGGTGGTTTTAAGATGGCTGTAACAGATGGAACATGGTTCTTTCTGGGGAAACAGCATTTGCTGTAGGCTGTTAATGAGATGGAGGAGAAAATCAGTTACCTGAGAAATACTTGTGAAGGGATGCTTTAAAGCCTCATCCTTCAGCGTCAGACGTAAATCAGGTAGGAATGGGCTGTGTGGAAGGGAACATCTCTGAGTTGGGTTTGGGGTCCCAAATCCATTGCCGGGTTGATGTTTGGTGATGCTGCGTGGTGATTTAGGGCCATGCAGGACCCAGAAGGGTTTTGGAGGTGCTGGGAACAGGCATTTTGTGTGTGTGTGTGTGTGTGTGTGCTTTTTCCAGCCCCCTTTTTTGAAGCTGTGGCCTTGAGGTTCACTGCACAATTTACGGGGCCAGGCATAAAAGCACATGCATTTTAGTTGCAAAATGGACACAGCTGAAGAAAGTGGAGGGATGGCCCTTCCTTGACTCCTTGAGAAAGACTACACCCCATACTAGTGCCCACCACTCCTCTTTCCGTCTTTGGCCAAATCACTGGGTGGGCAGAGCTGGTGAGGGAAGCCTGTGGCACTTTTCTGGGGGAACCCAGGGACCCTGGGAGCCAGCTCCCAGCTGGGTCAGCCCCAGGTAGCCTGGACTGGTTCTTGGTGCTATGAAAGTCAGCAAACCAACTTGTTTACACAAGAGGGAGAGGCAAACAGGTGGGGATGATCTCCACCCAGTTCTAGGTTTTAATGCACCGCCAAGGGTGCTTTCTCCTTCCATCATTGCTTTTCCTTCTCAGTGTGCCTTGTGTTCTTGCAACAAGGTTGTGAGCACTCTCCTCCTCCAGCAAGATCTTTTTTGTGTCTGCTGGCATCTGTTTAAAGCAGGGCTGGCAGAGCTGAGCTTCATTTCATGGCTTATTTCACCCAGAGTGAATGCAGCCCTCTTGGGGGCCTGTTCACCGGAAAGAGGATGGTCCCATCTCACATGCAAGCATCTCCTTTTCACCTTGGCCTTGGCAAGGCCAGTTGTCCCCCATCTGCCAAGGCCAGATGTCTGAGCATCTTCTGCCCAGCCGATGTTCCTCGTGTACTTGGAGCGCCTGGAGCAGGAGGATTCCCCAGTGGAAGATGCAACAAGACAAGAAGTTAAAGGAGGGGGGACACCAACTCCTCCTCAGCTTGTGTCTGTGCTGTATTCCCCTGTCTGCATCTAGAGGGCAGGGCAGGTACGTGCTCCAAGCTGGGTCTCTGTGCCATCTGCTCTGTGGCCCTGATAGAGTGTAACCAGCCAAGAGTCCTTCTTCTGGAGATGGAGTGTGTGTGTGAGGGAGAGAAAGCTGGGGTGCTCTGGTGCAAGCCTGTTCCCGTTGCCACAAAGCCCGTTGGTACCCGGGCAGCCATGCTGGAGGTGTTCATGTGGCTTTTTCCAGGAGGCAGGAGCCAGCATGGTCCTGCACCACAGGGGCAAAGAGGATTTTGCTGGTGGGTTAAGGGGGGCCAAAGCAGGTATCCAAAGCCAGTCTGTACGGTGCGAGGTGTCTCGTTGGCGTGTGGGGAGTTCATTTCCCTGCTTCATGCAAGGGACAGTCCCTCTGCATTTAATTAGCAGCTTTGCAGGATGGTGGCAAGGTAAAAAGCAGGGCATGGGCCAGGCAGAGGTCTGTTAAAGGAGACAAGAAGGACTGAAAATCAAGGTGTTTGTATAAAGATTTATAATCTCATTAATTTACATACATAATTCTGGCCTCCAGAGGTCCCTCCCAAAGCAAATTATTCCCCCATTCAGAGATTTTTATGATATTTGTTCCTGCACTTCAGGAAATCAAACAGAAGAGCCACACCGGGAGAAGGCTGAGCCCTATATATGCTTATTGCCAGTCATCTGCCATGAGACAAAAATGATTATGGGCTGTCATCATTCAGCTTGGGTATGCGCTGGCTGTCCTCCAGCCACAGATTTTTTTGGCTAGTCTCACAGTTTTTGAGAGCTGGAGAATATCGAAGCTTTTCTCACAAGGAGCAAGCGTTCCCATTTTATAAATATTCGATAACTAGCATCAGTATGTCTCACAATTTTATGGGTAAACGTGTACTTTGGCACGTACAGAAACTTTTTGAAAGCCTTGGCTCCTGGATTTGCAGGGTCTTAGGCAGGTTTGCAGCTTTTACTTTTAAACACCTTTTTTATCCTTTGTGGTTGTGATGGGGGAGGGATGGGGGGAAACACATGAGGATGCCTCCACGCAAAGCAAGAGGACAGTTGGCTTTTGTTAGAGGCTCTCATGAAGGAGCAGGGGTCCTGGCAGCCCCCCGGCCATCCTGAGCCCGGGGTTTCCTGTGGGATGCTGGCGGTGGGTGACAGCAGAAGAAGGCCCTGCGCAAGGGTCACACGAGGATTTCAAAGTGGGTGGGAGGAAAGGTGGTACCCCCCAGACAGAGCAGAGGAGGGGAGGCAAAGCATTGTGGGGTCCCCCCACCCGGAGCCCCACGGAATCGTGGAATTGTCAGAGTTGGAAGGGACCTCTAGAGATCATCTAGTCCAACTCCCCTGCTAAAGCAGGATTGCCCAGAGCACATCACTCAGGACTGCATCCAGGTGGGTCTTGAAAATCTCCAGAGAAGGGGACTCGACAACCTCCCAGGGCAGCCTGTCCCAGTGCTCTGTCACCTTCACCGGAAAGAAGTTTTTCCTTGTATTTGAGGGGAACTTCCTATGTTCCAGCTTGTGCCCGTTGCCCCTCATCCTATTGCTGGAAACCACTGAAAAGAGTCGGGCTCCATCCTTCACCCCACCCTTTAGGAACTTGTAAACATCGATGAGGTCTCCCCTCAGCCTTCTCTCCTCTGGGCTAAAGAGCCCCAGCTCTTTGAGCCTTTCCTCGTACGGGAGGTGCTCCAATCCCTTAATCATTTTGGTTGCCCTACGTTGGACTCTCTCCAGTAGTTCCCTGTTTCTCTTGAACTGGGGAGCCCACCACGAGCCTTTCACTTTTGGCGAGGAGGAAGGGAGGGAGGGAGGGATGTGCACCGCCACGCTTCCTACTGAAACTACGTCTCCCAGGCTGCCCCTCCATCGGGAGGGGTGCTTGGGGGAGACGGGGGCAGCCGCCAGCCCCCGGGCCCAGCCGACCCCGGCATCCTACGGTAAAGCGCGGGGGCGGGACGGGGGACGGGAAACTTTGCGGAAGGGCCCTGCGCGATGCGGGTCGGGGGGCGGGCTGCGGGAGAGCGAGGGGCCTCTGGGAAACTCCGGTGGGAAAGGGGCGGAGGGAAGAGGTCGTGTCTGGGGTGTGGGGTCTGCGGCGGGGGGGGGTGCACGGCGGAGAGGGGAGGAGAGGGGAAGGGAACAGAGAGGGGGGGTCTTTGTGCTGAAGCGGGGAGCGTGGTGGTGGTGGGGGGGGGACGGAAGGGAAGGAGAGAGGCAGGGGCTGCGGGATGGTCCGTTCTTCTCTGTCGGGGCGATGGCTTCCTCCTCGGCCCTGGCCCAGTCTGCTGGGATGGGACTTTCAGTTTCTCAGGGAGAGGCAAGGAGCCCTGCCCTTATCCCTGCTCCTTTTCTTACCCACTGTTTCCTACCCTTTCTTCTCTCTTTCCTGCTCCCTTCTTCCTGCCCCCACACTTTTTTCTCTGCTCCCTTTTCTCTGCTCCCTTGCCTCGACTCCGACTGCTGCTGGGGCTCTTGCATCTGGGATTGTTCCTGCCCCAAACTGGACTTGTTTTGCTTCTGGATCAGGCTGATGACACAGAGGTGTTTTTAGGACCACTTTACATCCTGGTGCACCTTTCACTGTTGTGGACAGGAATGGAGAAGGGTTTCCCTCGTGGGGTGGCAGCCTCCTGCCCCAAACAGCCCCATCCGAGGAGCAGGACTGATAATGGATGTGTGGAGATGCTCCCCAATGGCTACTTCCACTTGAACTTTGCGGACAGACCTAAAAAACTTAAACCTCCCATTTTTCCGTATTTCAGGTCTTGGCAGGATGGAGCCAGGGGAGAAGCAGCCCAAGGATTTCAGAAGTGTCACGCTGCTGGGCAAAAGATGTCCCCCAAAGAAGATTGGCATTACAGGTGAGTGGATGTCCATCTGTGATGACTTGTTGCATGTCAACAGGATGGGGGTTTCTCAACCAGCCTTGCTAACTCCACTCAAAGGTGATGAAACCCCTGTGGGCCCTTACTGCGGTTCAGCTTGAGCTGAAACAAGCACAAAGTCAATTAGGAATAGTGGTTCAGCTGAGCTGAAATGAGGTCTTGACCTGCAAACACCCCAACCCATATCTTATTTTAAGTCCTGTGAGAAGCGTCAGGGAAGATGGTAGTTTTGCAAACAATTGTTTCATCGCCCTGCTCATGGTCATTTCAGATGTCCCCATCTAAGTTATCTGGGGGCAACAAACCCTCTGTGAGAAACAGGCACTTTGAATAGTGAATCATTCATTGTTCATTTAGGATTAGAGGAATTCCACCCTTGGAAGAGTCAGTTCTCCTCATTGCCTGTGAAGGAGGTGGCTGTCTCAGGTGGAGGCTTCTGCTCAGCTGGCATCTGGGTTTGCCCTGGATGGAGAGCATATTCCTCTTAACTTACATAAAAGTCAGAGCAGTTTTAACATAGGAGCCTGAATTTTGGCATGAAGGGTGTCACTTAAGACAACCCAGTTAAAACACTTAGCCCTTTATAAAAAGCTGTTGGGGAACTTTACTCTGCATGTGACAAAGGACACGTTCACATCTGCAAAGGCCATAAACAAAATCCTCTGAAGGTCTCTCTGCTTTGGGTGCACTCATCCCACACCACCCCTGATGATTGGGTATGTGCTAAACTCAGGTCTGGCTCCATAGAGGAAAACTCATCTCAGATACACCCTGAAGTAAGCAGCATGGGGGGTGGTGTTGGAAGATGCTTGATGGGGTTGGGTGTTGAGTTTTTCTGGCTTAGTCCTCTCCTAGTCTGAGCTCGTCCTCTCCTTTCCCAGGCCTAATTGTGAAGCACCTCCAGAAGACCTTCCAGAGGCCCATTGCTTTACAGCTCTCTTCTCCCATGGCTCTCTCTCAGTGCTGTGCAGGTAAGTGAGGCTGCTGAGGGTCTTAGCAACTCCCGGCTTTTTTATGAAACGTGGTGTCTAAGGTCACACAGCACTTGCAAAAATCCAGTCAGCTTGAAATACATAATTTCTGGAGAATCATTCCCTACACGACCAACAGTTTGTAGGGCAGTCACTGACCTTGGGGAGAGAAGAGCTTTGTGCTTTATTGCTCTTTTGTTTTTGTGTGTGTGCTCTATGGCCACTTTTAAAATTTTATTTATTAACATAGTGTTCTTGCTGCTGCTTCGTTTTGGCACAGAGAGCCTGAAAGACCTTTTGATAGTAAAGACATGTTGCAACTATACTCATTTGAGCACACAGTGGTCTCAGACTGTTCTCCAGACACATTCTGGGTCATGTCCTGGTCTTTAGCAGGGTTTGAGGACGTGCAGACACACGGATGATTGTGATCAGGTGTCAGGTCACTGTTGTAATACTATCTAGGGGCAAGTTTGGAGGAAATACCAGAGAGATCACCTCAGCTGCTGGAGGCCTGAGCACGTACCTCTCTTGGGCAGAGGTGTTGGCTGTTGGCTTTCAAGAGGGTCTGCCAACTCAGCCTAGGGCCATGGAGAAAGGGACAGGTTGTGACATCGTCTGAGGCACCTTCTGGTCCAAGTGGTGAGGATGGAAGTGGGAAAAGCTCCTTTGAGGGGTGAGACCTCTGCCTGGAGCTTAGCTGGGAACCAAGTGATGCTAACCCTGGCTAATACAGCCTCTCCATTGCTGGAGGCTGATGCTTCATCCAGAGGGGTTTTCTGTTATTTGCCCTCTCCCTGCAGCTGCTCTTCACCCCTTTGTGTTTTCAGTTCGAAATGCTATCCTTCCTGGCTCCAGCTTTCAATGAGTTGCAAACCCCTCCAGCAGTCCACACTGAAGAGTGTCCCTCTGTAGTGGAAGGGATCATTAAAATGCCTTGTTTCTGTTCAAGGCCAGCATTCATATCAAAAGCACCTGTGTGTGAGTACATATGGAATCGTTCTCTTTCTACAGGCTCTTGTCCAAACTTGGCGATGAGTAAAAGTGAAGGGCACGAAGAGAAGGGTGGGGATGTGGTGTCCATAGTGATGCAGCCCGGCAGCACACACCAGTCACTCTGCTCAGGGCCATCAGGAAGAGAAGACCACCGGTGCAGCGAATCAGCACCCCAGGGCTGGCAGAGGTGTCTGCAGGTCCAGGTGAGCCTTTGTGTTGTGTTTGTGCCTGACCCAGGGGAACAGGATGGCTGGGCATTTGGGCTGGTGATGTGCAAGGTCTTGAGGGCTCTAGTGTCTCCAAGTGCTGCTGTGGCAAAGCCAGCTGCCAGCTCATGCCTCCTTGCTCATGCAGCTGGAGAGCCAAGTTTCTGCAGTCTCACCAGTCCTTTCTTTTTGCAGATAGAAGAAGCAGAGAGTAGAGGGGCAGCCCACAACCTGGGGTCTCTGGCACAGGCATCCCATTCTTGTGCCCTCAGATCTAGTCCCACCCCTGCTCCTCCTCTGCTTTGTCCAGCAGACGCTACTTCCAAGGCCAAACTCTCCAATTGCTTCTCCATCTTCTCACCATTGTCGCAGAGCTCCAAGCCTGATTCCAGCCCCCTGCCTTATGCCAACTCCAACAAGTCCCTTAGGGGGAGCTGGAAGAAGAACCTGCATCCTGAGGAGCCCACCAGTCCGAAACCGGGAGATCCTGCATGTTCCCCTTTCACGGGGCCCATCATCACTCGGATAACTGATGGCATCTACCTGGGTAACCTCAACGCTGCCTACAGTGGGCGGGCACTGTGCACCAACAGCATTGACAGCATCATTGACATGAGCAGCCTGCCCAGTGACTGCAGCCTGAGCATCATACCCTGCACGTGCCGACGGGGAGAGTTCAGGCACAGCTGGTCACGCCTCAAGGTCGATATCCAGCCTCTGCTTCATGGGGATTGTCACAAAAAGGGGCAGCCCTGCTTCCGGGACATCAATGAGTGCATTGAAGCCTCACTGGAGAAAGGGAAGCGTGTCCTCATCCACTGCAGGGATGGTTACTCTCTAGGTCCTACTTGTGTCATTCAGTACCTCATGGTCAAGCACAGCATGAGGCTGCTGGCAGCCTATGAGTTCGTGAGGGCACGGTACCCCCTGAACATCCAGGAGTGTCATCAGGACCTGCTGGTGGGCTTGGAGATGTCCCTGCAGCCTGGGGCTATCAACATCACATGTCTGAAGCACTCGCTTTCAAGGAAGATGGCGTGGAGCTAAATGGACAGGGTGGCTGTGTTGTTTTGTCAGCAGCCTTAAAGAGGAAAAGCCAAAAGCCTTAACTCCATCTCCTGGGTGAATGAGGTGACTGTAGCTGTGGGTATGTAGGACAACACTAGCACAAGATGCAAAGGCAATGCCCTTATTTTGTTCCTAGAGGCTGGTGCCAGCAGAAGTAGAGCGTGGGGAGCTCTTTTAGGGATACACTGGAGGGAGAGGGAGAGCTCTGGGCAGGACAGGAGCCATGTGCTTTGCTTTGGTCTGATGGGATTTTGGGAAAGCAAAGGGAAGTCAGACACTGGTTTGCTCAGTGGTCCTGCCTCGGCTTTTACCATGAGCTCAGCTGCTGCTGAGTAGAAGGCTTGTTTTTTTGCTAACAGTGTCATCCTTGGAAGTAAGACGTAATGTCACCTGGTGTCGTATCACTCCATAGTGCCTGTCCACTTGATGCTTGTAGGATGGTGAAGAGGAGGGAAGGTGTAAGGGTGTAGGAGATGGCCATGAGGGAGAGCTTGCATGGATCTATCAGCCTAGTCCTGCCAACATGTGGTGGTTCCCTGGAGAAGCCTAGCCTGTCCCAGAAGTGCCACATCTGAGTCTCTCTAAAGCACAGGGCAGAACCTCCTGTACATGCCAAGTCTTTCCTCTCTCTGTCCTCGTGGGATGGTGAAAGTGCTGTGGGAATGGTGGGGCAGAGTCATGGCACATTCCTCTAGCGTGAGTGGAGGAGAACGAGGGCAGGGAACAAGGTCATCTGCTTCACAGGAGAGGTACCCAAGTGTGAACAGTGTGTTCACTCCCAGGCCCTGTGCTTGATACTTCATATTCATGGAGCTGAGGACCTCTCTGAAGGAGTTGCCTGGGGCTTCCTTTTGTCTTCCTTCAGCTTTTGTGCAAGGAACTTTTTCATTCATCACTCAAACACTTGCACTACTTCCTTTGGAAAACTCTCTCTTTCTTAACGTTAACCATAGCTCCTACTTTGGGATGTTTTTGTTTTTCTCTTCTTTCTGGTCCTCTCTGTTTTTTGTCCTCATGATGTTTTAGGTCTGGAGCCTCTTTCTTTGTTTTGTTTTGGTTTTTTTGTTGTTGTTTTTGTTTGTTTGTTTGTTTGTTTTTTCAGAGAGCTGCCCTACAGCTTAACCTCTGTGCAAGGCAGCTCCAGCAAAAGCCTTATGCAGACTCAGGCTCAACCTGTTGGCCCAAAGTGGGGTTGTTTACCTGGCGTGCAGATGCCAATATTTGGGACAACAAACCTGCTCACCTTGTTACCACACCTCACCATCCATTCCTTCTGTATCCTACAAACACATCTGTTTTAGCCAAATTTTGATCATGGAACTTCTTTATTTGAACTTCTTTATTCAAGTATTTCTGGCCAACACTTCCCTATCACAAGGTGGTAACCAAAACCTTGAACTCAGAGCAAATCTCTTTTGCTGTACTGCATGCCTGAGCTCCAGGAGGCTCAGAAAACCTTCATTTCACAGGGCTGAAGGAAACTTCTTGGGTGTGGGAAATTTTTGAATGTATAACCCTCCCAGTATTGATCCCTTCACCAAAAGCTGAGATGCTCTTTGAAGGACGAATGGGGCAGCAGTGGCTGGAATGCATGTAAATGCATAGGGACCTAAAGAAAATGGCTGTAGAGGCTTTGAAAATAATAATAAAAAGCCAGTTTAACTCTCGAGTCAACCATGGCTTATGGAGTTGGCAATCAGAGGAGAAGGGAAGCAGCTAAGCTGTCTGGGTGATTTCTGCTGTTGGCTGTTGAAGGTGGCTGCTGTCTGTCTGCAAGCGTGCTTGCTTTGGTCTCTGGTTTTTTTCTGTTTTCTGAAAAACTGGCATTAGTTGGGACAAGCAGATGTTCCTCCTGCCAAACTGTCTGTTTTTTGCTGAAGTCCAGATGGGAGATGGGTGGTGGGTGCAGTGGTGCCTCTACTAATGGGTCTTCCCCTGCGGCTACAGTGAGGGGTGCTTCTTGGGAGGGCAGAAGCTGCTGGAGTTTTAACCTCCACATTTACTTGGTGTGCCTGGAGCTGCAGACCCTGTTTCCATTAGAGCTCACTGTCCTGGGGACATGGATGTACAGGAGGTGAGTGAAGAGGAGGGCTGGATCAGGTCGATCCTTGTTACAGCTCTTCTCGAGCCCAGATACTTCACTAGGTGCTGACCCACAGCCATTGCAATGGGATTCCAGATGAGGGCAAAACCAGCCAAAACCTCTGCTGAACTGCACCTTCACTGTGCATTTCCAGGAGTCTCACGGTGGATTTGCAAGGGGGTGTCTCAGATCTATAGGCCAGCATACATTGACACCAAGATGTTCTCTACCCAAACCATCTACCTCCTGACATTTCAGAGGGACAAATCCTGAGCAGGCCCAGCCTCGTCCACACCAGGGGTTTCTCCTCTGCTGTCTATGGGGGCAAACCCCTGCAAGACACCAGCCCTGTCTCAAGGACTTGCTCTTCCTTCACCAGTGTCTGCAGCATTACTTGCATGATGCTAAAGGTGGTGAAACAGGAAGCCTGCAGGAGCAGATTTGCTGCTATCTATATAACCTCTGAGAGGCGCCTGGAAAATACTGTCAGGGCCACATCTGAATCAGCCTAAAAATCCCCGGCTGGAAGAGGAGGGAGCGCCTCGGCGGGGGGAGGAGGGAAGGAGCTGTTTGGCCTCCTGTCTCCATGGGATCCCCTACACACACACACACACACTACGTGTGGTGTGACTGGGCTGGTGAATATTTCCAGCTACATTTCCACCTGCTTTTCCCTCAGACTGGTGGAGATACAGATCTGGGGCATCCCACAGCAGACGTGGGGGATCACCTTCCTTGTTGGTAGCTTGGGGCTGCTCCCTCATGCTCTGCTGCCTCTCCCCAGCCCTTGCAGGCCAGTGAGCCTCGGGGCTGCCCGCAGCGGCTCCACCGGTTTGCTTTTTAAAAAACCTTAGTTGTGTTGAAATATTTCACAAAGGGGAGAGCTGCAAAGGCTTCCTGTGTGGTAAGTGAGGTTAAAAGAGCATGCTAGCGATAGGTGGCTCGCTCAGGGATTGCTCTTGCACGTGCCATCAGCGGTGGATTGAGGGGTGCGGGCTCTTTCCCCTCTTCATTCCCAAAAGGCAGAGCTGCTCCCAAGCCCTGGGATGTGAATGGAGCTGTGCCTCTGTCCGTGGATAGGTCACTCTGTCTCCAACAGAAAATTTTATTGGAAGCCTTGCAGATGGATAGCTGCATGCAGGGAGCACGGGTTCCTCACAACCTTGAAGCCATATCCAGTGTCTCAGGTTGATGGGAGGAAGGCTCCCTCCTCGGCACTCCCGAGGAAGAGCACCTCCCCGTCTCCTCCGGGGTGGCTGTGCTTCCCCACGCCATGGGTAGAAGATGTCCTCCCCCTCCCCACCCCTCTGTCCCTGGCCGCTGCCCTCTCCTCCGGGGCTGCCTGCCTGGCCTGCCCCAGCCAAGGGAGGTGCACAAGGGACTCTTGCACATCATTGGTCTGAGAAGGTCTCCATGCCCTTAAAGAGAAGGTGGATTTTCTGCCGAGCCACCCGAGAAGCCCTTTTATACCTCCTTACTCAGCCAGCTGCCTGCGGCTCGCCAGTCCGTCGTGTCCGGCCAGCAGCACTCTGGTTTTCTCCTCCAGACTTGGGTGAGCCGTTTTGCATGTCTCTTACTGACCCAGCTTGCTCTTTGGGGTTGATGGGGCAGCAGATACACTCACCTGAGTTTTAGGGAGATAAATGCCAGGTGGGGTGACCTGCTGGGAGAAACGGGGGTGCTAATGAAACCTTCTCCATCCTTTGCCTGTGGGAGAGGGAAGGATGCATTGGGAAGCCTCCCTCTGTCTTTTCCAGCAACCTTTCTCTTCGGTTTCATTCCTTTCCCCCCCTTTTGGCTGGTTTTGCTCTCTGGCTTGAGTGGCAAGGACGCTGACCTCCCCAGAGCCATAGGATCCTTGCCTGCGGTACTCGGCGATGCTCCCTACTTACACCCAATCCGCTCTTTGCAGCGCCTTTCTCACCAAAAAACATCCTCAGACAGGGGTGACATCCAAATTTACCATGTCCCACCTCCTCTCCTCCCCAAGAACAGCAGGCTGCAGCCTGGCATTGTCCCCACGTTGTCCCCCTCGCTTCCTCAGCGCCCGCAGCATCGCTGCCGCCGCAGTGGGTGCGTGCTGCCGCGGGGCAGGGAGGCAAGTAAAAATAGCTGGCGTTCCTCGGCCGCCGTGTCCCTCAGCTGTAGCCCAGCCACCTGTGCTGGCTTTTGCTTCGCATCGTCCCAACCTCCCTGAGTCACGGGGGCTGGCACCGGGGAAAGGCTGCCGTCCGAGGAGACAGCTGCAGCTCCTTCTGCCGCTCCCTGACCATTTTTAGAAGCACTTTCCTCCTCCCCCTGCCCCCACTCCCTCCCCAAATAATGTGATGGGCCTGCACATTTTCCAGGATAAAGTTTCCTTGGCCCTGCAAGCTGTGCCTCCTCGCTCGGGCATGAGCCCCCATTAACACTTCACACCCCGACAGAGCCTCCCGGGTCTGCAGATGGCTGTGTTTCGGGGGCTTGCCTGCTGTGCAAAGGACTAGCTTAGCTGGGCTTGGCCAACACACCTGCATCCTTCCATTAGGAGATACAAGCAGGAGATAGAAAAGTAAAATTCTATTTATGGGGAAATTACAGCAAAACAAAGGTGCTCTTCCATCTCTTCCCTAATATGCTGCACTGTACCTGTAAAATTTCCACTTAATGGAAATGCAAGGAATTGCCTGGGGAAATTCTTCGTGCCTTTACCAATTCAGCAAGAACTTTCAACCCCATCCTACGTCATCTGTGCTGAGGCTGTTGCAACAGGCTCCTCTGCCCCACGCAGTGGATGCATATACTGGCAGCAGCATTCCCTGAAGTCCCTCATTGTCACCTGGAGTCGCTGCCTGGCTCTGTTCCCAGGGTGTCCCAACCCTCTGCAGGCTTTGGGATATTTCTTGTTCGTGAAGTGGGGCAAGACTGCATGGTAAAGTTAAGCAGTAAACTGGGAATAGCTTTTTCCTCTTCTTCATTCATTGTGTAAAATGGTTTCCTGGGGGTCAAACAAGAAACATGCCTGCAGGAATTACTGTCACAAATCTCTCTTTGTGACCAGACCAAATGGTGCTGGGCCAGAAGTCCCCTGATGCTGAGGTTTGTGTGGCTGTGAGTAGGTACGTGTTTGGCTCTTGTCCACAAACTGCAGCCTAGTTCCCCATATATGATGAAAATTTGGAGAAGTTGGGAAATAAGAGCAAACCTGTTCCTCTTTTTTTTTTTTTTTTTTAGAGGAATCTTGCTTTATTTTTAAACCCCCAAAAGTCACCACCAGCATGAATAATTGTGAACCTTTTTTCCCCTTTGTTTTCATTGCAGGCTCACAACCATCTAAAGCAAGATGTCTGAGTAAGTTCCCATTTTTCTGTCTCTAATATTTTGTTGGCATTTAAAAGCTTTTGTTCAACTGCCAACTTTTTATGCTTGTTAAGATTCCTCTGCTTGTTTCCGCTTAGGATGCTAACTGCCTTTTTCTCTCCTTTCTCTTCCTTCCCTTCGTTGTCCATCTGCTCTTCCTGAACAGTGAAGAGGTAAGTGTGTCTTGCTGGATTTTTTCCATTAGCAATGCTCATGGTATCAATCCTGGCTTCACCATTCCTCCTTGGGAAAAAGCAGCTGCTGGGAGTGTGTGGGGAAGAATGGTTCATGGCAAGAGTTTCTTGCTGACTCCTTCTGGTAAAGATGGGAAGTGGAAGGAAAATCCCTTTTGAAGGTCTTTTCTGCCTCCTGACTTGGAGTTAGATGCTTTTTTCCCTCCTTTCCTGTTTTCCCCAGCTGGCCACGAGATGGTGCTGGGAAAGCGGTGGTCCAGAGCTGACTCCCCTCCATCACCCATCTACCACCCAGCCCTTGGCCGAGTACCCTCTCATCCTTCCCCCTACCTAGCCCTTCATTTTTTGCCCACTGAGCACTTCCAAATTGCTTCTCAAAGGCGAACTGGTGAGCCCTGGATCCAGGGGCATCGTGAGCAGTGTGGGGATTACATCCTTAGCAAGCTGTTCCTGCCTTGTGGCAGAACTGGAGCAGGACAGGTCTTGAATCCTGGGGGTGGTTGGGAAAACATAAGAGAAGGTGTGGAAGAGTGGTGCATGGCTTTGTCACTCCGTATCTCCTCTTTGCAAGTTGCTCCATCCTTCGTTCGTCTCTGCTTGACACCTCCCCATATGTCCAAAACACTACAAGCTCAAGCTTGTTGTCACCAAGAGAAAAGAGGATTTCAGGGACACATAGAAACTTCACAATATGGTGCTGATGTCCAACAGGTGCCTTGATTCCCCATCAAGCCTGGTGCCCCCAGGGAAGGCTGGGAGGATGCTCTTTCCTAAGCTACCAGTTTTCAGATGGAGAATAAGCCCTGGGCTAACACTGCTCATGGGATCCACTCTCTTTTGGCCCTTGGCCAGATTCATACAGCAAAATCCTGCCAGTTAATGGTGCGCTTCATCTCTGAGCTGGATGCCTTTCCTCTGCAGAGTCCTTCAGCCCTGTCAAGAAGGCTTTAGTGCCATTTGCATATGCAAAACAAGGCAAATTTTGTTACATTTCACTCTGCAGATCCTTATCCACTTCCTCCTTTATGCAGCACAGATACACACCCAAATGCTGCTTTCTTATTCCCCCACCAAAGTGTATCAGATGTCTGGGTGTGCTTCCCTTGCCCCAGCCACACTCAGTCTTGTTTGGTCTTCTGGGCAAGATGCTGAGGAAACAGCTGCAATGCACCAGCACATCAAGGTTGTGACTTCTTTTATGAATAGACGACCTGTTACTGCTGTTCCAGCACATCACAGGTACAGAAGGGCAGGTTTAGTCTTCTGAGCTCATCTGGCATCCCAGGGAAGAGAGAGCCAGTTTGCATCTTGCAGACCCTTGTGGGGGATCTTGTGGCCCTCCACCTCTGGAGGCCAGGACAACCTCCTGGCCTGTAGACCCCATGGTTGTGTCTGTCCTCTAGCTGTGATGAATCCACAGTGCCCTAACACAGCAAATCAAAATACCTGTAACTGCCAGGCTGGGGAAGAGCTGCAAAAGGAGTTGCTGGTTCCCACAGAATCACCTTCAGCATCACCTGCACTGGGTCTTTCAGCTCCAGAAATTACACAGCCTTAATCTTTTTACCTGCTTGGCTCTCCTTCTCACTCGTGTGCCAGGGACCGCTCAGAAAGATGTCCCACAGCTCCCGAGTGCCCAGGGGCATCAGGGCAGTTGAGTGCAAGGCAAAACACATGTCTGAGGGAAGAGGAAATTAGATAAAAAGTTAAAAGTCTGAAGAAGTCAAGTTTGAGGTTATATTTCATATGCACATCTTCGAGTTCATCACCTTCATTATCTTCTTCTGAGGCACTTTGTAGGTTTTAGCTACCTGAGGTTGGCAAATCTGGGTTCAGCAGGGAGCCTCTTCTTAGAAGTGCTGATAGTTTGGGGACCAGTTGTGTGTCAAGCTGTACATCCTGCCTGGAGCTAACTGCCTGGCATGGCTGTGGGTCCTTGGCGGACTGTGGGGTTGTATGGGGAAGGGGAATGGAAAGGGGAATGGGCACCCGATAACCTGTTTTTCTCTCTTTCCTCCCACTTCCAGAAAAAGAGGAGGGCAGCCACTGCCCGTCGGCAGCACCTGAAGGTACGTGGCACTGCTGGGGCTGGACGAGGTGTGTCCCAACCATCCCATCTCCCATCCTGAGCCAGCCAGCTCGTGGCACTCTGCCTTCTGGAAGAGGCCATGATGCATAACCTGCACCACCCCCCCACCTCTTCTGCACTCCTTACTGGGTCCCCACCAGTATCCCTTCTTGGAGATGCGGGTATTGC